GAGTACCACTTTTCTCTTCTTCCTTGCTCTCCCATCTTCTGTTACTGCCTGCCTCTCCCCTTCATTTTTCAGCTCAGCAAACCTCTTCCTGAGCTCTATTTCTCCTTTGCTAGTTGGTCTTTTTCTCTGCCTTGTTCTTGTACTCACATGCTTCCACTGGCCACTTTCCTCATCCAGCAGTCTATCCTCACAGTTCACTGGTCCGGCATGCATCTGCAAATCTTAAAGTTTCCCTTCAGCCTCTTCTCTCCTTCCCTCCGTCATCTGCTCAAACCCCTTCTAAACTCAACCACAGTTTCTAGCTGCATCTCCAAACCTTTGATCTTCTCTTCCATCAGATCTGTCAGGTGACACTTCATCCAAATGAAGCACCTTTTGGGTATGCACTCCAAAATAATATATGTCCCGCAGCTTCCACATCCAGTCATCTTCATTGTCTCTTACATTTTTCAGGTCTCTACCACTGCTGCCTCTGTAGCTGTCAGAGTCTTCCCCCCTAAGCTCCTGTCAAGAAGGAAAACCCAAAAACAACCAACAAAAAAACCACACACACCCTCCACCATACTCCGCTTACAAACTCCCACTCAAACTCCCCTGTTTTCAGCTCTCTTTGCTAACTCCTATGGCACCGCTAAGTTTCTTATAAGAGACATAACTCCTTAGATATTATCTACAGTAATAGCTACTGTAAGCTACTTGCTCTCAGTAGAGACCTCACATGTGGCACTTTGGTGAATTATTATGCAGATATCCAATCCAGGGGATCCCTGTACAGCCCTATGGACCCCCTCTACCAATTAGCATCCAGGGATCCCTGGGTCACAATACCAATGGGTGCTATATTAATAAAGTTTTAATAAAACACAAAGTAAACAATTAGTAAAAAAAAAGGTTTGAATATGTTTGTTAAATCCTCCTCCTCCCTTGTCCTCTGTTGCTTAGAGAATCTAAATCTTGGGCCTACATTTTCTGACAGTGTGCTAGTATCTCTTTAAACCTTAAAGCACTACAGACAGATTTACTCATGCATAGAACTCCTCACAGGCAGACTTAGGTAAATCCACTTTCTGTCCTTTCTTTGTCTGTCTCTCTACCATCCCTAGTCAGGCAGAAGATCGACTTCCTCAGTTCCAGTCCCTAACACCTCCTAGTCCCAACTTTTTGTACTGGATAGCGCCTAGAGGCCCCAGTCAGAGATTACAGCCCCATTGTACTAGGTATTGTACACACAAAGAATAGAAAAGACAGTCTCTCCTTTCAAGAGCTTATTGCAATATATATATATATATATATATATATATGGAAATCACCCTGTCCAATCATGAATTTTTTTGTAATGATTTACTCAACTGTTATTACATGTAGTGACTAGAATAACTTTACATTTCGTAGTTCTCTTTTAAGACAGTAATATAATGGCCACTTTCATGTAGCTTTTTAATTGAGTCTTTTATTGTGGGTTTCTTAAAACAAAATAAAATGAAAAATAATTGGTCACTATTAGAACTGTTCTCCCGTGGGCTTATATCGGCACCTTAGTGAATGGGTATGAAACACCTGAGATAAAACTCTAATGGATTATTTGCCTGCCAATAGTGGGGGGGGGGCACAGTGTGTGCAGCCAGCTTCAGCCGTGTTTCTGAGCATGCTCAGTCCGCGTGAGCATGCTCAGAACAAGCCATGCAGCAAAAACTGGAGGGGCACATGACCCCGTATGCTCCCCCATTAGGGTTGCCAACTTTCTAATCACATAAAACTGAACACCCTAGCCCCACCCCTTCCCCAAGACCCTGCCCCCCGCTCACTACATTCCCCATACCTTGGTGGCTCGCTCTTCCCCACCCTCACTCAATTTCACTGGGCTGCAGCATGTGTGGGGGATCTAACTGGGGATGCAGGCTCTGGGGTGTGACCAGAAATGAGGATTCAGGGTGCAGGAGGGGGCTCCAGACTGGGGCAGGGAGTTGCGGTGCAGGAGGGAGTGAGGGCTCCGGCTGGGGGTACAGGCTGTGGGGTTGAGGGGTTTAGGATGCAGGAGGGGGCTCCAGCCTGAGCGGTGGGGCTGAGGGATTTGGAGTGCGGGAGGGGGCTGCGGGTTGGGGTGCAGGAGTGGGTATGGGCTCTGGGTTGGGGGTGCAGGCTCTGGGGTGGGGCCTGGGATGAGGGGTTTTAGGTGCAGGAGGGGGCTTCAGGTTTGCGGGGGCTCAAGGCTGGGGCAGGGGTTCCCTCGGGCAGCTTCCGGTCAGCGGTGCAGCAGGGCTAAGGCAGGCTCCCTGCCTGTCCTGGCACCGCACTAGGGTTGCCAGGTGTCCGGTTTTCTACCAGAACGCCTGGTCAAAAAGGAAACCTGGCAGCTCTGGTCAGCACCGCTGACCAGGCAGTGAAAAGTCTGGTCGGTGGCGCATAGCAGCTAAGGCAGGCTTCCTGCCTGCCCTGCCTCCGCGCAGCTCCGGGAAGCAGCAGCATGTCCCCACTCCTGCTCCTACACAGATGTTCTGGTCAAAATCTGTACACCTGGCAACCCTATCTCCCATGCATCATCTCTGTTTCAGAGGAATCATTATGAATCTCCTATTGCAACATTCTATTAAGAATCATTGACACAAAAGATTATAACAGCTGTGAAAGTCACTCTTTATCATTTCATCATGTATTTACAGATTCTTTAATACACACAGTGTCAGAAAGATGGGATAGTGTATAGCAGCAGTTCTCAACTGGGGGTCTGTGGCCCCCTGGGTTTCTGCGAGCCCTTTCAGGGGGGGCTATGGGGCCCTGAAGCTGAAACCTGGAGCCCTGAGACCTGAAGCTGGGAGCTGCATAGCTGAAGCCCAAGCACTGGCGCTACCCAGGGGGCTGAAGCCAGGAGCCGTGGAACAGAATCCTAGGGCCCCGGTGCCCTCTGTGGGGCTAAATCTGGGAGCTGTGGGGCTGAATCTCAGAGCCCCGGGCGTTGGTGCTCCCTGTGGGGCAGAAGCCCTGAGCCCATGGGTGGAGTTGGGGTGGGGAGGCATTGCCCCCCCAAACTGCAGTGTCTTACCGAGAACTCGGCATTCCCACGGGCAGCTTCACACTCCCCTATCTCCTCCTCTCCCCACACCCCTGAGGCCCTGCCCCGGCCAGGTCGGGGGTGGGAAGCTGGAGCCGGGCAGTGCAGGGCAGGTGCTGCTCTGACTGGTGCCATGGAGCAGGCAGCTGCGGTGTTTCCCCATCTCCTGCTGGTGCCCGGGGTTGTAATTGCGCGTCAGCTCCCAGCCCCTTTGACTGCTCATACAGCTGGTGGGGGGGAACCTGGCTTGGGGGCCTGCAGAGCCCTCAGGGAGCAGTGACAGTGGGGGCGGGATGGGACTCCTAGCACACAGCCCTTAGCCACCCACTCCCTGCACCCTAAGCTACTACCCCTGCCTGCACACTGTCCCAGCTACCCTGTCCCATTAGCTACCTCCTGCTTGCACCCTGAGTGATTTTCAAACTGTCTGAGCTAAGCCCCCCACCTTTGAGTTATAATTTTTTGTTTCCCCCTCCCCCCCAACCCAGACAGGCTGGGTGGCCTGCTGAGCTGAGTCAGGGGTGGAGGTGGCACTCCCTCCCCAGACCCTACCATGTGGAGCTGGCCCAAGCTCCACTGTCCCCTGCCCTGCCCCCCAACAGAAGTCATACTACACTTCTGCCCGAGGGACCCCACCCTGCCCAGCCCAGAGCCCTCCCCCACCATGGGCCCTAGAGTTTTTATAGCATGGGGGTGGGGTAGAGAGGGGTGGTTCTGAAATAAAAAAGTTGAAAACCCCTGCTCTGGGAACTTAATAAAACTCTAAGTATTAACAATCCTATTGGTATTTTTATTGGATGAAGTACTTGCATGTACAGTGGCTACTTTTCTAAGTTAATATACCTGTGATTTTGTTCTTAAAGATTCAAAAAAAAATAGTCTATATTCCAGAGTTTAAAAGTTAAAGCTGATGTAAGAGGTGAAGATCTACAGAAAGCACCAGAATACAGGATATTTATATATCTATAATTTAATATACATCCAAATGATTAAGCTTTATTTTTAAAAAAATGACATCTGATTGGGTGAGTGTTTCCGTGACAAGTTTAAAATTTGATAATTTTTTTTATATTAAATATATCATTGCCTGAGATTAAGGAATTATGAGGAAAATGCCACACTCTATGAAACAACTTAGCTGATGCCTCTTAAATCAAACCTCATTGTAGTTAAAGGAAACTGTCCAGGTTATAGAGATGTAACTGAAATCAGAGTTTGGCCCTTAACATTTTTATCTTTATATTGGGTTTCATATCAATAAGCAGCCAGTAAAAATGCTGAAGCTTGGGAACTTACATTATTTCTGATCAACATGAACTTTGATATTCATTAATCTTTCCCGTGAGCGAGTTTCTTATATAAGTAAGGCAAAGTGGTGTTTCAACTTGCGGAGTTTCAGGCGATTTGAATTCCTACCATTTTGGATTGCAAGCAGCTTTTGATTACAGTTGTTTTAATTGAGTCTAATATTGTAGGGCTCTTGTTCGCTGGATCCGTTCCATGCTTTTGTTTTATATATGAAACTTTAATCACATTTTACACTTTTAAACCGAGGCAGTCTTGCAGACGGTAGAAGTGGTTTACTTTGCACTGTGGTTTATAGAAACATGCCAACGCTTCTGGAAAAGCGATGAGTGAACTTCGATGGCCTTACGTTAAAACAAGAAAATATGCGGAGTGAGAGAAAAACACCAGGGCGCACTAGTTTTATACATGTAACAAAAAGGGCATGCACCGAAACCGTAACAAGCGTGCAGACTCCGCTAGCGCACACGTACCTGAGCAGTAGGATGCCTGCGAGTCTATCCCGCAGGAGAGTCAGTGCCACGTCTCACTGTCCCACTCACTCTCCCTGGGACCTTTATAGTGCTCTAGCCCGAGGCCTAAAAATAGCCTTTCAGCAGCCCGCCGCTGCCCACAAGGGGGCGGAGGCCCCGCTCGGGCTCGGGGAGGTGAGCGACCTGTCACACGCGGGCTTTGGGGAAGGGCAGAGCGAGGGGAGCGCGCTCTACCGCCGCCTGCAGGGGGGCAGTGTCTGCGGGGCTGGCTGCGCGCGGCGGGCCCGGGACCGGCTGGGGCAGGGAGGGGAGTGCGCCGCCCGGGGGCCTCGGGGGCGGGGGGAGAAGCGGGCGGCCGGGGCTCTGGTTTCACCCCCTGCCTGGCCCCGAGAAGCGGCGTGTGCACGCGGGGGGAGGCTCCGCGCAGAGTGGAGCCCCGCTCCCAGCCAGGCCTGCAGGGGGAGTCGGCGAGAGACGCTGGCACAGGCACACGGCTCTCCGCCCGCCCGCGCGGACTCCCCGTGGCCGGGGCGCTCTCGCACAGCTCCCCGCCCGCCCGCGGGCTGCCAAGCCGCCGGGAAGCCCGGGACACAGGCATCGCGGCTGCTGCTGCCGCCGCCGAGCGAGGGGAGAGCAGCGGCCGGTGTCCGGGTCTCCTTCTCCTCCTGCGGGATCACCAGGCGCCTCCTCGGGGATTCCTCTCCTCGCTTTACATGCTGCCCCCCCCGGCTCTGGATTTATAGGCAGCTTCCCCCCTGCGTATTCACCCCCTCCTCCCAGGGACTGCCCGGCGGAGGGCCGCCTCTCCCCTGCCTGACCCAGCTGTGTGCCTCTGGCTCTTGCCATCCCCTTCCGGGGGCGCCCAGACGGACCTGGAGCCCCCCTGAGCCCTGAAGCGCTAGGGGGCCGGGCTGGCGCATCACCTGCGGAGCCGCTTCTCACTCTGCCTCTGCTGCGTGCTGGGATTTGTTGTGCTTTAGTTTGGGGTCTGTCGGCTCGCTCTGATCCGAGCCGATTCCGAGAAGCAGCCTCAGGGTATGAATTCTCTGCTGCGGTGAGTAAACATTGAAAGCTGCTCAACCAGTTGCAACTTCTTGGTGGCCCACAGTTATACTGTGTGCTGGGGTGGGGGAGATGGGAGAGATGAGCACTAAACATTTCTGTGACTTGGCTTCCCTCCCCCGTGCGGGATCTGAACATCACTGTGGTGGGCTGGCAACTTAAACATCGTTCAAGATAAAAGTCACCTCCCCAGCCCCCTTACCCAGCCACCCCAATTCTCTCGAGTTGTTCTCCCCTCTGCAGGACACCAGCTTCTGCCATTTGAAGAGCCAGAGAAGGGGCTGTGGGGACAGACTTGATTGCACAGCAGCTGTGTATCAAACTTGGTTTGACTAAGTGACCAAGCATAGTGAGGGGCTGTTTTTAAAGGGATGTGATGTTTTTTCTGTGGTATAGGCTGCAGCTGTCCTGGGGGCTAGGAAGGGATGGGAGTTCCTATTTGGGGGGATGATTGGGTCACAGGGTGCACCTGCAATTTGCTCAACACCTAAACCCAGGGAACCTCTACCGCACCCCCCTTCTTGTTGTATTTCTGTTCGTTGTGAGTCTCGATCCAGCATTTAGGGTGAAGGGAGCACCGTGTGTTGATCAGAGGAAAGGGGGGCTGTAGGGTCTCCAGAGAGGGCTAGTAGGGGGAGAGTGGCAGAAAAACTGTTGGTGGATGTTGCATCAATGCCCAGTAACGCTCCGGAGTTCCCCCTCCCCCATCGTTCCATGTTCTGAGCACATACTCTGTTCCAGTGCAAACAGGGCTCTTTGCTGAGGTGTGATGCAGCTCCTGCCAATGTGTTTCCTATGGCTGTGGACCTTTGCTCTTTGCTTTACGGGCTCCAGGTTGTGTTGGTGATTTTGTTTCTGGAGTGGGGAGCCTGACTTTACTCTTTGCCATAGTGGTCTGGTACCGGTAGGGGGCGCTGGAGGGCTCCGCTCGAGGTGGCTGGATGCTCCAGCCACTTTTTAGAGAAATCAGCGAGCAGTTTGGGGTCACCATCACGGGGGACAGAGGGCAAAACTCGCAACTGGTTCCCATTAAGCAGAACCTACCTTGTTTAGTATCTAGCACAGATACCTCAGAGGGAGAGAAACAAGAGATGGCAAACAGAGAGTCCATTTAATGCTGTTACAAAACAGGAGTTAACTCTTTAGCCAAGTTTCAGAGTAGCAGCCCTGTTAGTTTGTATCCGCAAAAAGAAAAGGAGGACTTGTGGCACCTTAGCGACTAACAAATTTATTTGAGCATAACGAAATAAATTTGTTAGTCTCTAAGGTGCCACAAGTACTCATTTTCTCTTTAGCCAAGACAATGAAAACAAACAGCAAAACTCCATGTCTTTAAAACTGATAGAAGCTAATCATATTTCCCTCCTCAACCTCTCCAAGTACATTCAAAAGGTCCCACCCCAACCTTCTGCTCCATTTTACATTTTAGTTATAATTTAACTGATTAAGGTAAATGATCCTGAAGTAAACACCTTCATCTGCCTCAGGTTGGAATAGAATATATATACATATAGAAAAATGTCTGGGGATTTTTTTGTCACCTCTTTATTGTTATTTCAATGTATTGTATATCTTCTTCTTATGACAGTCAAAAAGAAATGGGTGGAGGGGAAGGGAAGCTAGCATGGAAAGTTATTGGATATTATACAAATGGATATTATACAAATGTATACTTGGATATTTACAAATAATACTAGTTGCTGCTGTATATGAATTTTAATATACTTGTACTGCATCTATTATTTAATTTGATAAATGACAGTAGTCTGTTGTATAAACCTGTATTTTGACACCTTTTAAAGAGTACATTTTGAGTTAATGGTCAATAATACACTGAATGAGACATCATGGTCTGTTGTGTAAATCCTTCTTGCATGGATTATTACCCTGAGAGATGGTAGCCGTCATGGTTTCTCATATTAATCCGGATGCCAAGCATGCACACCAAGTTCACATATTAAAAATCCTTATGACATTTTTCATTGAAAAAAAAAGCAATGTTCATGCTCATTCAGTAAACAGCTCAGGGATGGATGGATGGATAGATAGATATTCAAAGGCAGCATGGAGTATGGAGCCTGAAAGATTACAACTGAAAAAAAGCAGCAGTAGCTATTTTTAGGATTGTAGGAGCACACTTACATAGTTAAAAATAGTTGAACAGATTTTTTTAAAATAAACAACATTTTGTAAAGGAAAGCAAACACTAAACATTCTTGGACTGAGTTCTTGTATGCCAGACTCCAGCCTTAAGCAAAAATTTTCAGCCCAGTTAAAAGCTCCATGATTTATAAGGGAAATGGGACTTCAATTTTAACTCTAGCAGCTGGAGTATTCCTCAGTCCTTGCATGGGTAAAATGAAAGATTTTGACAAATTTCTGTGTTCTTTAGGGTAGGTGATGATAATATATTTTTATTACTTTTTCTAATGGCATCACCTCATTTCTCATGTTAGTGGTGAATAGCTGCGTAAACTCCCACAGAGAGCAAAGACTTTGCTCTTACAGGTGGCAGTTTACTTTTCTGTTCAAGAGATAGTTCAGAACTAGAAAATGTAAACTCTTGCCATTAAATTATACTTTTCCTTTAGGAAGTTTTCACGTAGTGTTTTGAAGAAGCTGAATGTATTAATATCAACAGTCTACACCATGTTTTAAATCTTCTCCCATTGTCAGTTTGGTAAAATATGTGCAAGTAGCAGTTTTCTGTGTACCTTGTAAAGTCAAAAACCTTGGATATGTCAAGTTCATTGAGCTAATTTGCAGTCATATAGACCTGTACTGTCACAAATATGTACCACTGTAGTTGAATAACAGCTATAGTTTTAAGCTTGTTTAATCAGATATTTAACCAAATGGGGTAGTAACAGAGTTTTATGTCTGTTGTTATTACTGTCATATAGAATTATATTATTATTGTGTTTTGTGTTATCAGGATGTTGCAATTAAGTAATAATGTAAAAGAAACCATTGCTTCTTAATAAATAAAATATACAAAATATAAGTAAGAATACAACAAAAACATCTTAGCAACTCCACTTCATCCGTTAGAAACTAATTACAGTAAAAAGAAAAGGAGTACTTGTGGCACCTTAGAGACTAACCAATTTATTTGAGCATGAGCTTTCGTGAGCTAGAGCTCACTTAGTGAGCTGTAGCTCACGAAAGCTCATGCTCAAATAAATTGGTTAGTCTCTAAGGTGCCACAAGTACTCCTTTTCTTTTTGCGAATACAGACTAACACGGCTGTTACTCTGAAACCTGTAATTACAGTAAGGGATTCAACAGATGGAATTGGAGAATTACTTGGATATACAAGGTCAGATCTTCAACTGGATTCTAATCCTTCAAATATTATTAAAGCTAATGTTAAAAAAATTATATAATACACAGGTTAAGAAAAGAGTGTCTGTACATATGGGTTTCAGAGTAACAGCCGTGTTAGTCTGTATTCGCAAAAAGAAAAGGAGTACTTGTGGCACGTTAGAGACTAACCAATTTATTTGAGCATAAGGTTTCGTGAGCTACAGCTCACTTCATCGGATGCATACTGTGGAAAATACAGAAGATGTTTGTTTTTATACACACAAATCATGAAAAAATAGATGTTTATCACTACAAAAGGTTTTCTCTCCCCCCACCCCACTCTCCTGCTGGTAATAGCTTATGTAAAGTGATCAAGCTGTTACCAGCAGGAGAGTAGGGTGGGGGAGAGAAAACCTTTTGTAGTGATAAACACCCATTTTTTCATGATTTGTGTGTATAAAAACAAACATCTTCTGTATTTTCCACAGTATGCATCTGATGAAGTGAGCTGTAGCTCACGAAAGCTTATGCTCAAATAAATTGGTTAGTTTCTAAGGTGCCACAAGTACTCCTTTTCTTTTTGTACATATGGGTATAGTGCTTAGATTATCCACAAATACAAAGTTTGTTTTAAAAGTCATAAGATACATATAGTACCTAGTCAGCAATAACCCAAATTTAGGTGAATAAATTTAACAATACAGTTTAGATATTAGCATCCAAGTACTTGGGTACATCACTCATAAAAAGTTGTACAGAGAGTTGATTGTGGAAAGCAAAATATTTCAATGAAAGAAGATTGTCCCTCATACTACATACATGGTCAATTTTAAACCTGGGAGAACAGTTCCATTGATGGTGATGTTTAAAGCTAACATCAGAGGAGCTATGCTGATTTCCACTGGATGAATTACACCAGTGATAGTCAGAATGAGGCTCGCGAGCCGCAAGTGGTTCTTTAATGCGTGGCTCTTTGCATCACATGATATTAAAACACTGTGTGATTTAATTATTAACCAATCTAAGTTATTAACCAACTAGGATGTTTTTTCTATGTTATTAATCAGTTGAAATTGATAAAATAATTATACTTGGTCAGTCATTTTGCTGTGAGAATTTTTTTTATCTATATGTATACACACACACACTAATACACATTTCCCGTCATACTGTTTAAATATGAATATATAGTACTATTGTAAATGAAACACTGAATTCACACTACTGTGGCTCTTTTCGGTAATGTTGATCGTTAATTTGGCTCCTGAACCACTGAGGTCTGAGTATCATTAATTTACACTCATAGTATATGTGTGTGGTCTACGATCACATGAATTAAACTGAAGCAATATCTACTATTCAATACTTTGTGATAAGAGTTTCAGTGTACCAAATATGTACATATTTATTATATAGTATAATATGATATAATGTAGTATAATATAATATTATTACTATTTTTTAAAAGAAGCTTGATTATAACATATGAACTGTAAAATTATGTAAAATTACCAGCAGGAGAGTGAGTTTGTGTGTGTGTGTTTTGGGGGGGGGGGCGGGGAGGGGAGTGAGAAAACCTGGATTTATGCTGGAAATGGCCCACCTTGATTTTCATACACATTGTAAGGAGTGTGGTCACTTTGGATGGGCCATTACCAGCAGGAGAGTGAGTTTGTGTGTGGGGGG